ATAAGCCATAATTTATCATAGGAAATATCAATTGCCAGATGCATCATTATTTTACACACCATTAAGAAAGAAAAACAGGGGGCCGCCCTGTGGCTCACTCGGTAGAGTGCAGTGCTGATAACACCAAGGCCACGGGTTCGGATCCCATATAGGGATGGCCGGTTCGCTCACTGGCTGAGCGTGGTGCTGACAACACCAAGTCAAGGGTTAAGATCCCCTTACCAGTCATCTTTTTAAAAAATAAAAAAATTTAAAAAAAACGTTTTGAGTCTAAATTCTGACATGAACTTAGATTAGCTGAATTATACTCCATTCTTATTTGTCAGTTTTCATTTTTTAAAAAAAGAAGAAGATAGGCTACATTTAACCCAAACCAGTGGTATAACTATCTTATTTCTCACCCTACTCCTCATCCTCTCCTGCTGTAGTGGCTCAAGCTAAAACTGTTCAGACTGGGGCCCTCCGTGATGTCTCTGAGGAGCTGAGCCGCCAGCTGGAAGACATATTGAGTACTTACTGTGTGGACAACAATCAGGGGGGCCCAGGTGATGATGGGGCACAGGGTGAGCCCACTGAACCTGAAGATGCAGAGAAGTCCCGAGCCTATGCTGCAAGGAATGGGGAGCCTGAGCCAGTGACCCCAGTAGTGAATGGTGAGAAGGAGACCTCCAAGGGAGAACCAAGCACGGAAGAGATCCGCACAAGTGATGAGGTTGGAGAGCGAGACCACCGAAGACCACAGGAGAAGAAGAAAGCCAAGGGTCTGGGTGAGCAGAGGGTAGCTCCTTGTGAGGCTGGTGAGGGGAGGGAGTTTGGACCTGAATTCAGAGACTGTACTTCTCAGAGCAGTGAGTCATCCCAGTTTAATCCAAGCCAAAGGTGTGGGGACCACAGCATAAAGATGTTCGGGTTGTTCACTGCACCTGGCCTTTGGAGCAAGTGGGGATTGAAATCCAGCCTTCTCTCATTGAGAAAATGAAGAGCAGGAGGCTTGGGTGGGTACCTGTGCCAGCTAGCACCACTTCTAACCTGTGTGACCTTGGGCATGTCCTTTCCCCTCTCTGGGTCTTAGTTTCTAGTTCTCTACAGTAGGAGAGTTGGATTAGGCCAGAGTTTAAAACTCAGATGTCTACATTAGCCAGGGGGTCCCATGAGGACCAAGAGAGGGCCTACTTTATCCAGAAGGTTGACTGACACGAGGCCAGTTAAGAGCATGGAAAACTATAGGCTGAATGCAACCAGGATTTTCTACTTCTTTTTTTAAAGATGACCGGTAAGGGGATCTTAACCCTTGACTTGGTATTGACAGCACCATGCTCACCCAGTGAGCTAACCGGCCATCCCTATATGTAATCCGAACCCGGGGCCTTGGTGTTATGAGCACCACACTCTCCCAAGTGAGCCACGGGCCGGCCCAGCAACCAGGATTTTCTTTCTTTCTTTTGCGGGGGCAGCTGGACAGTATGCAGTAATCCAAACCCTTGACCTTGATGTTATCAGCACCATGCTTTAACCAAATGAGCTAACCAACAAGCCCTTTTTCTAGAGTTATGTGAAATCTCAAAATTTTTAATAGTTGTCAACTGAAATGGAAGCAACCAAACCAGACTCACCCTTGGGTTAGATTTCACCTATGTGCCAGTGATCTGCAGTCTCCATGCTGATTTCTCAGTGCCTTCCAGGGCTGACGCTTCAGGAGCCTGGTCTGTGTACAGCAGCCTGCCGGGGAGGCAGAGGGAAGGCTCCCTGACTCATGCACAGGCAGTAGGGAAAAGGCATTGACGTCATTTGACAGCCAGCTGTGTATGTGTTCAAGAATTTAGGTTAGGTGACATTAAAACCATGTCCTAGTCCCTATTCCTCCAACCTATCATCCTAATTTAAAGAGAGACTTTTTTTTTTATCTTAGGATCACATATATTGAAGGAATATTCATTTCAAAGTTTACTGTAAGGAGTCAGCCATTTGTTTAATGAGCATTTATTGAGCATTTGCTCTATGGTGGCTCTATAGACAGTACTGGGGCTACAACAATAAGCAGGATTGAGTTAGTCCCAGCCCTCATGAAGCACCTAGTTTGGCAAGGAAGGCAGCCAGTTTAACAAAGAAAATATAAAATATGATAGGGGAGGTCTGCCAAAACACTCATGAATGTGGGCCCAGGCCTGGAAGGGGGCCACCAGAGAAGGGCGTGCATGCCTTTGGTCCCTGTATTTTGCAGGAAAGGAGATCACGTTGCTGATGCAGACATTGAACACGCTGAGTACCCCAGAAGAGAAACTGGCAGCCCTGTGCAAGAAGTATGCTGAACTGGTCAGTTACCCCCTTCGCTGGCACCCTCCCTGCCCTTGGAAAGTCAGCAGGCCACCTGGAGTGGGGTTGGGGGTGCAGGGGCAGGTGGGTGTCTTAATTCCTGTTCAACCCTTGTCTGAACCTTTCCCCTATCTGTGAAATGGGGAGTCAATTCCCAGCCAGACTCTTCAGGGCTGACAGTAAGAGGAGAAACTGCACGTTATTTGAAAGAAATTTCTCAGAGAGTGATTCCAGAGTGGTAGAGCCCTAGCTCCTGACCTGAGTCCACATAATATGTCATCTTGCCCCTGTGTGCTTCTGTATGCATCTGCCCAAAATACGGAGGTGCATAGTGCCATTATCATGCTTAATAAAATTAACACCAGTTACTTGATACTTTTTTTTTTCCTTTTACGCCAGAGCGTTCTTCCTCTCACTGCCTCCCTTTTTTCCCCCATGACATTGACTTATTGCAGAAATCAGATGAGTTGTCCTGTATGATGCCCCACTTCTAGTTTTGTCTTCTTTGTGGTAGCATTTAACTTGTTCCTTTACCTCCTTAGTTCCTGTAAGTAAAGTGGACGTTAGCAGAGCTTAACTCAATTTAGATTCAACTTTCTTGACAAGAATTCTTTGTAGGTAGTACTCTATTTTTTTTAATTGGCAGCTGGCCAGTATAGGGATCGAACCCTGGACCCGGTGTTATCAGCACCATATTCTAACCAAGTGAGCTAACTGGCCAGCCCAGAAGTCTATACTTCATACTCTATTACAAGAAATACAAAGTGTGGTCGTCCCACTTTTAGTGTTTTAACATTTTTCATTGGGGGGGGGGCTGGGGAGGGTGCCAACCCATCTCCATTGTCATGTTCCCCATCAGAATTTGAATTAACAGATTCGTCCATTGATGGTCATTGCCTAATTATTTATTTTCAAATTCTTTCATTCCATCCACATTTATTACCTGATATTCTCCTGGAAGGAACTTTTCTCATTTGTAAAATGGGGGAAATCATACCTGCCTAATGAGATTATGGTAAGGATTAAATAAAGGTAATAAAGAAGATAACCACCCTTTTAGAATGATCCAGCCAGGGAAAGATTGCTGATGTAAGAGAGGAGGAAGTGAGTTGCTGGAGTGATGTTCTGAGTACATGTGGGGAGCTGCGGCCCAGGGCACAAGGAGAGGGCTCAGCCTTGGCCAGAGCACGGCTCAGTCCCTGTGGCTGGAGGAGAGGACAAGGGCAGGTGGACTGGCGGATATAGGGCTTGTGTCCCTGCTACTCTGGTTTTTTTCTGTATTCACAGGGAAATGGGTGAGACAGTGGTAGTTGGGGCAGGCGAGATTTTTAAAGAGGAGGCAAAAGAGTTATCTGGAAGAGGAGGAGTGTGAGTAGCATGAGAAATTTAGTCGGATTGCTGGGCCGATATGGGTATTCCTAAAATTGGTAGTCATGAATTTAATTTCAAGCAGGCTTGCTTCAATGCTAGTCTGGGGTCAGCAGGAAGGTAGGTGCTTTATCAGGGTTGATATTTTGCTGGGAGAAGGACCAAGAGAGTTGAGGGTATAAGAAATTTAAGCCAGGTATTCAAAGGGGGGTTGAAGCAGAGTAAAATGATGGTTGGGTTGATGGTTTGGAGATCTGATAGGGTAAGAGGCTTTTTGGGGACCTTGGATATTGGTGGGAATGAGCTAGAAAAATGAGTGATGGTGGTGCTGGCTAGAGCTGCTGGAAATTGAGATAATAGGTACAGTTCCAAGTAGTGACAAAGTCTAGACCTGCACTGTCCAGGACACTTGCTAATTGATGTGCAGGTCATCTGGATTTGGATGTGCTGTAAGTGTAAGATATACATCAGATTTCAAAGCCCTAAGACAAAAGAATGTAAAACATCTTAATTAATTATTTATATTGATTCCATGTTGAAATTTAATATTTTAGATATTGTATTAAATAAATTATTAAAATTCATTTTATTGATTCTTTTTTAATGTGGCTGCTAGAAGTTTTTAAATTACGTATGTGGATTGCATTATATTTCCACTATACAGAGCTGGATAGGAGCGTGGGAGGGGAGCTGAGCTGGGGACAAGAGTGGTTTGTGGAAGAGGTTAAGGACTGTGAGGCCAGGGAGTCAGGAAGATTGACTGTTGATATTGAAATGGCCATGAATGATAATAGGAGTGTGTGGGATGGGGGGAAAAAGAAAAGGAATGTGTGGGAGAGAGCAGTGGAGAACCAGTGCTAAATCTTTGAAGGAATGAAAAGGGGTAAGGGGGGGTCTGTTAATGGATACAAGGAAGGGGAGCAGGTAGTCTCATCCCTAGGGTATGAGGGTCCAGAGAGTTGGGGCAGTGCAGTGGTCTGAAGTATCTGGAAAGCTTTGTCTCTGGAGTCAGAGCTGGGATCTTCTGGCTGTGTGACCCCTGCTTGTCCTGAGAGTCCATTTCTGTGTCCCTAAGACGGGGTCCCTGGAGTTAATGGGAGGAGCATGTAAAACACCAGCACAGTGTCAGTCCTGGCCTGAGCTACTATGGCTGGAGTCAGGGGAGAGGGCACTCAGAAGACCTGGGAGTCACATAGGATCCCCATGAGGAGAGCCCCACAGGGCACTTACCCTTCCTCCCTGTCCCTAGCTGGAGGAGCACCGGAACTCTCAGAAGCAGATGAAGCTCCTGCAGAAAAAGCAGAGCCAGCTGATACAGGAGAAAGACCACCTGCGTGGTGAGCACAGCAAGGCCGTCCTGGCCCGCAGCAAGCTCGAGAGCCTGTGCCGCGAGCTGCAGCGGCACAACCGCTCCCTCAAGGTAGGCCGGCGGGCGCCCTGCAACTGGCGACTCTAGTCTTACCTTTGATTTCTACTTATCTTTGGTGGGCTTTTCCCCAGAAAAAGTAGTACAGGCTTGCGGTGTAGAAATACATTTCCCCAATAGTTCCCTACAGGTAGAGAACTACTTGTAGCCATTGACATGTACTTGCACTGGATAAGGTAAAGGCAAAAGTGCACCCAAAATGCAGTGGCCTCAGTAGTTCTCAATTAAATAGCAGTCCCCAGTAAGTGGAGGTCCAGCCTGACCAGCAGTTCTTGTCCCATTGGTTGGTCATTCAGGAGCCTGGGTCCTTCCTCTGTCCTGCTTCTCCTAGGGTGATGTCAGTCCAAGGTTAAAGTCTGCTCACTGTAGTGACCTATAGATGGTTTTTGCAAGCATGTCCTTGCAAGTTTATATATTACTTATAAAATTTGAATCCATGGGGCCGACCTGGTGGCGCACTGGAAAGTGTGCCGCTTGGGAGCGCGGTGGCGCTCCTGCCGAGGGTTCGGATCCTATGTGGTGACCGGTTCCCGTTCACTGGCTGAGCATGGCGCGGGCGTGACGCTGAGGGTTGTGATCCCATTGCCGGTCCCCGGTATGGGCGCGGTGGCGCTCCTGCCGAGGGTTCGGATCCTATGTGGTGACCGGTTCCCGTTCACTGGCTGAGCGTGGCGCGGGCGTGACGCTGAGGGTTGTGATCCCATTGCCGGTCCCCGGTATGGGCGCTACACCGAGGGTTGCAATCCTGTTACCGGCCAGTAAAAAAGACAAAAAAGAAAAAAAATTGAATCCATGAATATATAGTATTTTACAACTTGTTTCGCTCATTTTTAATTAATAAGTACTTGTCTTTCAAAACATTATAAATTTGGGGCTGCCCGGTTAGCTCAGTTGGTTAGAGCGTGATGTTGATAACACCAAGGTCAAGGGTTCGGATCCCTGTACTGGCCAGCTGCAAAAACAATTACAAATTTAATATTAAATTTGTTAAAGGTGACAAAAGTTTATAAAATATTAAAGGTACTATTTGCCCACACTCCTCAACCCCAGTGCCCAGCAGAAACTCCTGTGAAGTAAACCTACTTATTTGTAAGTTTAAGTGCAGTCTTCTAGCTTTTTTCTTTGTATGTAAAAATCTTACATACAGTTTTTTTAAATGGAATTATTGTATGTTTACTGTTTCACATCTTATTTCTTTTTCTCACTTTATATAATGCCTTATCTTTCCCTATCAGTATATGTAGAGCTATCTCATTCTTTTTAAGCATTGATATATGGATATACTGTATTTTTATCAGTTCCCTAGTTAAGGGATTTTTTGGTTTCCAACTTTTCACTATATAGAGCTGCAGTGAAAGTTCTTGTTATACTTGTATATATCCCTGGCCAATTAAATAGACTTTAGCTGTAGGATAAATCTCAAAAGTGAAATGGCTGGGTCAAAGAGTATGTAGATTTTTCTTTTTTCTTTTTTTTTTTTTTTCTTTTGGTGGCTGGCCTCTATAGGGATTGAACCTGGACTTTGTTATCAGCACTATACTCTAATCGACTGTGCTAACTAGACAGCCCCAAATTTTAATATTTTGCCAGATCGCCTTCCAAAAAGGAGGCAGTGTGCACCCTATCAACAATGTCTGACTGCCTAATTCTGCACAACCTTACCAACCTTGGGTATTACTAAATTTTAACAAATTAGTCTCTTGGGGTTTGGGGGAGAGGTGAAAGCTCATTAAAACAAAAATACTTAATTTGTAATCTGAAAGAAAAGGCTTCAGGAGATGCCATTGCTTCAGCATGGCACATACACGTGTGCCTGCATTTTTCTAGGAAGAGACTCTTACTTGATGTCACCTGATAAACAGAGGGGTCCATCAGGAGCCTGGCTACTCCTCACTTTGGGAGCAGGCAGGGCTATTGTCAGAGACTGTCATGGACTTGTTGGGGGAGCCTTGGGAGGCTGGTTGGGGAACAGTGGATCATGCACTGGGGCTGACTTCTCTGCCCAGGAAGAAGGTGTGCAGCGGGCCCGGGAGGAGGAGGAGAAGCGCAAGGAGGTGACTTCACACTTCCAGGTGACACTGAATGACATTCAGCTGCAGATGGAACAGCACAACGAGCGCAACTCCAAGCTGCGCCAAGAGAACATGGAGCTGGCCGAGAGGCTCAAGAAGCTGATTGAACAGTATGAGCTACGAGAGGAGGTAAGGTGGTCACAGAAACAATCGTGGCTGGGGGATTGGGAGGGGCCGGACTTGTGGTCAGTGGTGGACTCCAGGGGCTGTGTCCACTGATTCCTTGCTAATCTGCTGTTCCTGCCACTTGAAAGAGTAGGATGTCACTGCCTTGGCTGGCATTGGCTACTACCCCAGGCATTCAAATCTTTGGGGCCTCCATGCTGTCACTTTGCTGTGTTGGGCCTCTGTTCTCTTGTCATTCGAAGGGAGACCTGCAGCTACCTTACAGGCTGGCAGAGGACCTACTCTGGACAAGGCACTAGGGGTGTGGTGGTGGTTGATATGGGCAGGACCTAGAGGGGACTCCCCTGACCCACCCCTCCCATCCTCTGGGAACAAGGCTGCTTGTGATACATTTGGTTTAAGGGAGGCTGGTTTGGTTCTTGTCCCTCAGCACCGAGAGACATGAGACTTCCCGGACCAGTAGAGTGAGGCACTAAGTTCAAGAACCTGAGGACCCTCTTTCTCACTCCTGTTCTTCCCCACAAGGCAAAAAAGTACTTGGTACTCCCTGTGGAGGAGGACATGTGGGTCTGCCAGGCCCTGCTGCTTTTCATTTACAGCCTTCCCTAGACAGATTCAGGCACTCCCTTCCTGCCGCCTGAACCTTAGATAACAGGCACCTGGAACTCATCATGTCCCCAACTGAACTTGTCTTCAAGGCGCCTTCCCTTCCCCATCCAAAAATAAGTTAAATTCCCCACATCCCTTAGTAAGTCCAGTTGATTTTACCTTTGAAGTAGCACTTGAGTCCACCACCTTCTCTCATCCCTGCTCTGTCTCCTGGCTTAGGTCCCCAGGGCTCCTGCAGAAGTCAGGACAGCCTTTCCTTGGGTTGCATATGTCTAGTCGTCACTTGTAGATAAGGCACATCTCTGCCAGTTTAGCTAAGCTGTTGTGTTTGTAGAAGCATTATTTTTGCTCTTTTTTCCCATTTACATTGGCTGCCAGCCCCGCGGGCTGATCAGTCCTGGGGCTGGAGGTTTGAGTGTATTTATTGCTTGGCTTCTTGGCAACTGATTCCATCCATCCTGGCTTATCCAGGTCTGACTCACTGGGAGAAAAACGAGGTGAGGTTGGGAAGTTGACCTTCCAGGGACTTGGGGCCCATGTCCTATAGTACACATGGGAGTCCAGCATGTCAGATTGAGATGGGAGGCTGGGCAGGGTGTCTTGGTCTCTGCAGATTGGACCTCCCTGAGAAAGGAAGCTCCTGACAAGCGGACACCTCCCACTGTCTTTCCTGCAGCATATTGACAAAGTCTTCAAACACAAGGACCTGCAGCAGCAGCTGGTGGATGCCAAGCTCCAGCAGGCCCAGGAGATGCTGAAGGAGGCAGAGGAACGGCACCAGCGAGAGAAGGATTTTGTGAGGCTCAGGCCCCGAGGTTGGGGTGTGGGAAGAGGTGGGGTGGGTCTTGGCTCAGCTCATAGTCAGGTTGGTATGGGAGAGATTGCTGTCTGGCCAGACCAGGCACTGTTTCCTCAGACACTCGTCTGACAGTAGGAAGCCCGAGTAGGTCTGGTGCTTGTGGCTAAAAAAAGCCAAACACAGCCCCTGCAGGCTTCTGACAGAGTCTGGGGTCCTGTCTTGGAAATAGCTCCTAAAAGAAGCAGTGGAGTCCCAGAGGATGTGTGAGCTGATGAAGCAGCAGGAGACCCACCTGAAGCAGCAGGTGAGATGGTTTATTAACCTGACCCTGTGCCTCCAAGGTCCCCTCACTGGCCCTGTCCTGTGGGGGAGTGAAATGGTACCCTCATTCTAGGACCAGCTCTGCCCAGACTGCTGTGTGATCTTGGCTAAGCCTTTGTTCTCTCTTGATCTGCCCAGCACCGATGTGACAAGTAGCTATAGGTGTGCTCAGAGGACTTCATTCTAGCTCGGAACTGTTGGGTTGCTTTTGAGAAGGTGGGATCAGAACAGTTGTTTTTAACTACATAAATTATACTTGATTCTGGAAAAAAAAAAAAAAGCAAAAGTAAACATAAAAGCAAAATATAAATAACCCCAAATTCTACTTTCCAGGCTTAGCATTTTGGATTATATCCTTCCAAATATACAGTTTTTGTTTTGTCGTGAGGAAAAATGGTATCTCAATAGAATTGTTGTGTCAAAAGGCCAAGAAGGGGTCTGAGTGTATGGACCAGAGGTGTCTTCCAGAGAATCCCACTCTTACCTGTGGGCTTCTTTCTTACCCAGCTTGCCCTATACACAGAGAAGTTTGAGGAGTTCCAGAACACACTTTCCAAAAGCAGCGAGGTATTCACCACATTCAAACAGGAGATGGAAAAGGTAAGGGTGTTCTGGGCCGGCTGGGGCTACTGGGCACAGGCTACTTCATTCAGGCTTGAACACTGGGCCTGCCTTCAGGAAGTCCCCATCCCGGGAGTGCCTCGCAGGAGCTGTTTGCAGTAATTGTGATTGATACTAAGGGTGGGGCTGTTAAGAAGGATCACAGTCTTTCCCCTTCTCAAAGCATCAGTGGTGTGTGCAACCTCCAGGTTGTACTGGAGAAGGGGCAGTCTTGTCATTTCTTGTTATGGTGGTGGACATTTAATTTAAGACTTCCTTGGTGGTAAGTCCCCACGTTGGAGACAGCGCAAGTCTGACCGTTTCACTCCATCTGTCATGTAACCCAGATGACTAAGAAGATAAAGAAGCTGGAGAAGGAAACTACCATGTACCGGTCCCGGTGGGAGAGCAGCAACAAGGCCCTGCTTGAGATGGCTGAGGAGGTGGGCTGAGTGGGATCTGCACCCGGGGTTGGGGTGTGCTGTTACTGCCTGTCCAGCCCTTTCCTGTACATTCTACACAGCATGAGGTGGAGCTTGGATTAACACATGTCTGTCCAAGTTCAAAGGCAGTGCCAACTGTCTCCCTGTGGGAGGTGGGGAGCCCGGTGGTAGGTCTCCAGTAGCAAAGGGAGCAAATGGAAGAAAGGAATAAAGGAGCGGAAAAAACCAAGGGTGCCAATGAAGTACCTGGTTTGTATGCAAAGTAGCTCAGATAATCTGTGATTTCATGGCTTGCAACATAGAATAAAGGAATTAACACTGATGGAGCAGCAACTGCAAGCCAGACCTTGCCGAACATTTTAGATAAGCTGGTTCATTGAACCTTTTCTTGAGATTTGAGGATGGTGTTAGCAGTCCTGTTTACAGATGAGATAGTCTCAAAAACCAGGTACTTTGCCAAGTTCATCTGATAGATAAATGGAGGAGTACATTGACCTCTAAGCCATACCCCCTCTTTGTACCGCATTGCCCACAACTGAGAACCAAGTCATGGCATAAATCAGGACTGTTGACTAGAAGGGGCTAGCTCTTTGACTCTGGTCTGCTCCCAGCCTTGTTAAAGTGAGTGTTTTCCACCACATGGTAGCATTGGAGGGGGGCCGGGGGTTTGATGGGATGGCACTTAAAGGCCCCATTTCTCTCCCTAGAAAACACTCCGGGACAAAGAGCTGGAGGGCCTACAGGTGAAAATCCAGCGGCTGGAGAAGCTGTGCCGGGCACTGCAGACAGAGCGCAATGACCTGAACAAGAGAGTACAGGACCTGAGTGCAGGTGGCCAGGGCCCCCTCACTGACAGCGTCCCTGAGCGGAGGCCAGAGGCTGTTGCTGCCTTCAAGGAGCAGGGTGGTGAGGAGCCAGGAGCCCGAGCACCCGGCTCCCCCAGGGCCACAGAAGCTCCTTGCTGCCCAGGGGCACTGAGCACAGAAGCATCAGGCCAAACAGGTCCACAGGAGGCCACCTCTGCCACTGCCTAGAGAGCCTGGTGCTTGGGGCATGCTGGGAAGGGAGCAGGCAGCCCAGCCAGGCCTGGCCCATACAAGGCTCCCACGCTAAGTAGTCCAGTGCCAAGGCCAGGCTCTTCTGACTTGGCTGGCATCTGACACAATTTTGGATTTTGTGGGTCCCTTTTACATACATATGGCATATGTGCAAGGCCTCATACATTTTATATCTAAGTGTACAGTGGGCTTGCTTTGGGGGTGGGAATGTGTACAGATGAAGTCAGTGGCTCCTCTGTGGGCCTGAAGTCTTAAGAGGAGCTGTCATCTGTAGGTGCCATCACAGTGAGTTGGCAGGACAAGTGGCTTGAACATTTCTCTGCCTGATTTGAGGCTCAGACCCCTCCTAGCCCTTCAGAGCTCGTGACAAGGGATACACCCAGGCCTTGACTGCATTTCTCTTGTGAGCAGGGCTTGGGCAGCTCGGGTTCTCCTAGCTCCCCTGGAGGCTCCTTTTGACCTGGAAAAAGTTTTGGCAGGGTGCTTGGAACTGGTGATTGACTGCTTTCCTGCCTAGTACTAGGGACATGGAGAATGTTTCTGGGTGGGATGATGCTCTCATCGGGAGCCCCTTGGGCACCATGTCCCCTGCCCTCCAGTAGTGCCAGGACCAGGCCAATGATGCTTCTCAGTAGCCTTATCATTCACAGGTGCCTCTCTAGCCTGCACAAATGATTGACAAGAGATCACCCAAAGGATTCTTTCTGAAGTTTGTGGGTTTTGTTTTGTTTTGTTTGTTTTGTTTGCACATGGCAGTTTGTACTGAAAGTCTTCTAGGAAGGAAGAAGGGTGCTGTAGCAGTGGTGCCTGCGTGCCTGGCCTCCAGTGTCCCACTCCCCTCACCACCCCACCTGGCTCCTTTGCTGTGTTGGTGCTGAGGTTTCCTGTTCGATGAGATCGGATTGTTCGTAGCAAAAGGAAGGAAAAGGCTTGTGATGGCTTTGCCATAAGCTTGCCTATGGGTTTCAATCCTGGTAGGCCACCAGTGATTCCCATCACCACCATCTCCATGTAGCACTTGCCAGTCCCCAGGTCCAGCTACCCCCTTGGCTTTATAGATCTGTTTCTGCTTCCTGCCTCCTCCCTTTATGTGTTTCTGCCCCCTGAATCCTTAAGGTTTGCCCTGGTTCTGTTTCCTGGTACCTCCTTTCCCAAGAAATAAGAGTACTCCTTGGCATTCCACTTCCTGTGTGGAAGCCCCCAGCTGTTGTCTGATAGGTAAGGAGTGAAACTCGGCAATTGACTGAGGGCTGGCCAGGTAGATCAGTTGGTTAGAGCTTGCTGTTGTAACACCAAGGTCAAGAGTTTGGATCTGTGTACCAGCCAGCTGCCAAAAAAAAGGAAAATTGAGCCCCAGAAACTCACAAAATGATTGTAGACAGACGGTTTTGTCTTCCCCCACACCCAGTACATACTACCATGTACTGTGCATAGCTATTCTATACACTACAAGCTCTGCTGGTTGCAAAATTGTCAGGAGATTAGCCAGTCTTTGTTCAGAGCAGTTTTCTGGGACGACAGAATGAGTCTTGGATTGGGAAGCATCTCTAGCTGGGCCTCCACTTCAGTGTAGCTGAGGGAGTCACAGACCAAGATGGATAGGATGGTTGGGGTTTTGTTTCTTTTGTATTTCTTTGAAGCGAATTCATTGTTTTACACATCCCTTCATCTTCCACAACTAGCCCACTCTTTCAGCCCTTAACTTAAATCCTTCACATAAATAGGTTCATGAAGGATGTTAAGTCCTCCTGAGTCATGTTGTGACTTAGACCAGAGATGGCAGATGAATAGCACATGTTTCCTCCTGCCCCCATGGCAGGCACCACTAATCCACTTCAGAGCATTTCCTGCTAATCCCTGGTATATCTTTACTTCACATCAGGATGCCCCCAGCAGCGGTATGGGTCTTGAGACTTATTTGCCATCCCTGGCTGAGATACTGCTCTCCTGTGGAGAAGTGTTTTTCAAGATTTTTTCTTCTCTTCTGAAATCCCTGTGTTTGGAACGGTCCCTGCCTCTTCCTCCTCTAGCCCGTGTCAGGCTGAGGTACAAGAACTGCCAACCCCACAGAGGATTTGCTAGGCTCCAGAGCTACAGGGAGGAGGCATCTGCTTGCTTCCTTGAAGAGAGTGGAAGGGCCTACAGTGGCCCACATAATTGCCTGCCTCACTTCAGCTACCTCTTAAAGTCCATGAGGGTTGGGGCTGTTGGGCCCCAGTTTGGTGGGATGGAAGGCTCCAGTGGGCAGGTGGCCCCAGGCAGGGCAGAACCTTTGCACTCAGCAGCTCCATCATTCCGTAGGCATCCAGGCCAGTGTGTAGATGGGGATCCCTTTCTTTCTCTTCCTCGCCGTTGACCAAATCATACCAATCACTACATCTGCTCTGCTCACTCTGCTTTCCGAAGTCAGCCCAGGCCCTGGGCCAGATGCAGGGGAGACGGCCTATCCATGAGTGAAGGCCAGTGCCTTCCTCACACAGGCAGGTCTCGTGTACATGACCTCAGACTTAGGACCAAGAGCTGTGCTGGTTTCTTGGATTGCTAGCTTTTCCTCCAGGGGACCATAGCAGGTGAAGCTCATAGGCCAGAGCCCCCGGCTCTGCTAACAGCAGCTTATGTTCAGGACCTTATCCAGCTGAGAGCTTCGTGTATGACAGGTTCTGAGAGGTGTCAGCAGCACTTTCTTTTTATTTGTTGTTTGTTTTCCATGAGGTTTTTGGACCATGGGCTGAGCTCAGGCACTTTCTGTAAAAGAATATTATTTCTGTAAAGATGGTTATTTAACCCTTCTCAACCCCATCATGGAGGCCCTGCTGAGGGCTGGCCAAGAGGCCAGTGGAACTGCTCTGGTGTCTTTGGGGGAGGGCTGAGCCCCGCTGAGCTGATTCTCCAGCTGCTGCTCCAGCCTTCCCACCTTGCACAGTACAGAGGTGGTCACCCCAGCGACAGCCGGGCACCTGCCTGCTCCTCTCACCCTGTCTGGTGGAGGGGGGCTGCCTTCTGTCCCTGTAACTGCTTTCTTTATGGCCCAGTCTGGCCACCCAGACTTGTTTGAAGCTGTGCTGACAGCTTTGTTGTCTCCTTTTGGTATTCACAACAGCCAGGGACTTGATTTTGGTGTATTTTAAACCACATTAAATAAAGAGTCTGTTGCCTTACTTGTTTCTCTCCTGTCCTGTGTGGTCATCTGATGCTTCTGGATCTATCCCGTCCCTTCAGTCTTCACTGACTTGTCTAGATCTGCTGCAAAATGACCATGGCTATGCCTTGGCATCCTACATCTTCCAGGGTGCCTTCCTGCCTTCCAGCAGTCACCACAGACTGGGGACACTGGCAGATTTACTTGAGCTGCCTGAGTGGAGCCCTTGGCAAAGTTGGAAAGATGCTCATATACTTGAGAGCATCTTTCACTCCAAAAAATTGATTTCTTTCCCTCAAAAAGAAAAAAAAGTCCCTTGCCTCTGGTGTGTCACAGTCTAACAAAGGGGAAAAGTACTTTAAGGCATAGAAAGGTCAGTGGTGCTATGGGAACAGAGAGGAGGCCTTTGCTCCCTTCAGCAAGGGGAAAGCAGAAACCTGGAAGGGCCTTCTGACTCAAAGGGCAGGTAGAAGTTTAACAACTTCATTTAGTAATGAAGTGGTTTACCTGGGAATACAGGTGCTCAGGAGGGAATGAGGTTAGGGCTAAGGGCTTGTGTACCAGGCTGAGGGACTCGGGCTAGATCTAGAGGGCAGGGGGGAACCACTGAAGGTGTTGAAATAGGAGATTGGGGGCTGGCCATTTCGCTCAGGTGGTTAGAGTGCAACCTTATAACACCAAGGTCATGAGTTCTGATCCCCATACTGGCCAGCCACCAAAAAAGTAAAAAATAGGAAATCTATAGTGTCAATGAGTAAGGCAAAAGGCAGGAAGACCAAAGAGCTAGGCATAGGCCAGTTGAGGCCCAGATTAAGATGAGTGGACACTCTCATCACTGCTATTTGGGTATGTGCCATGAGCAGCAACCTTGATTTCACATATTTCTAGACAAGCACATTCTCCGTTCAGTTCTGTTTGCCCACCTCAAGCCTGGGTATTCAAGCTGAGGCTCCTGTATGGGAGACATCCTACTGGTGGCCTTGCCCAGCACTCTGTTCTCTCTGGGGCATGTGTTGGTCTGCACAAAGGATGGTATGTGGCGAATGCCCAACCAGTGGCAGAGACAACCCAAGTGCTCTCCCTTCCAGACATCCACAGGTAGATGTGTCCACACACTGGCTGTGACGGTCCCAGCAGAACTGCTAACCCTGATGGATTGGTACTTTTCTGTGCTGGCCACATTCGTTCCAACCAAAGATTCTCTGGATGGGGGTGGGGAGATGCCGCCCCAACTCTTGGAGCTTCCAAGCAAAGTAGCTCTGAGAATGACGAGGCTTCTGGCTCACCAGGGAAGCACCCAGAGGTGCTCCTGGACCCTCTACCAAGGTCCTGGAGAAGTGCCACTCTAACAGCTCTGGTAGGGGAGGAGGACGACTTCCCTGTTGTCCCCCCTCCCTCTGACCCCCTGGTTATTGAAAAAATCCTGAATTAATGTCACTCTTTGTGGAGCAGTCTGGGTGTGGGAGGCACCTGGGAAACAGCCCTGCACAGGTGCCCGCATAAGCAGCAACTGTCTGTCTCCAACTCAGCCAGAGGCCCAACCCAGGAAAGCTGCCTAGCGGGAGGGTAAGGTGGGCCAGGAGGCTGTGTGCATTGCCCTGGGTCGGTTCATTTGAGCCTGCTGGGCAGCCTGGCCTGGGATGAGCCTCTCTCCTGTTGCATTAGATGCTGTTCTGGGGATCTGAGCCAGGAGCCTCTCAGGTCTTTAAATAGCTGTCCCACTGAGCCATTGAGCAGTGCTGGGTTAGCTTCCTTCAGGCGCTCAGGTTTCCCTCCCAGGGGCTGGAATCATTTAGTCTTCCCTCTCACCTGGTCTCCCCACACCTGTCTCCTAAGCCTGGGGCGTGGGGAGGGGTCCCGTCACTTCAATAGCAGCATACAGCCCCCACTACTTACCAGCCAGGGGTGTCTGCGTGTTGTGGGGAGAGTAGTATTGCCCTCAAAAGACTGACTTAACTGTCAGTAAAACTGAGACAATGACAATGATGATACCTTCCTTCAGGGTGGTTATGAGGATTAAAGGTACATTCAGTGCTTAACAAGGGTCCTGGACTCACTCCTTAGGTGGCTGTCTTTTCGTACTTTTCACGTGCTCATATCCCCCATCCCCCCCTCTGACAAAGCCACCACCATTTTGTAAGGGACTATAGCTTCTCTCTAAGACTGACAGGAAAAAGAAAATATTTTTCAAATCGTCATCACCCAACCAAAAGGGCCACGTTAGTTGAAGCGGGGAGGTAAGGTCGGGTGAGAGGAGCAGCTTAGTAAAAGTGGGGATGCTCCTCCCACCTTACTCCATCCCAGCGCCAAAGAAGGACACTTTCTCTTTAAATGCAAATTACCTCCCTCCGGCTTAGCTTCCCTCCGTGCGCGTTCCCGGGAGCAGAGTGCGGAAGGCGGAGGGAACTTGCACAGAAGCATCACTCCAGACCCCAAACCTCCAGGTCAGTAGCCCCCTGAGGGAGTGAGGGCGGCGGCGCCATGATGCGGGTCTGACGCTTTGCTTCGGAGCCCGGCTCCCAAGCTGAGCGATCCATTTGACACATGGCTTTGGAGACTGAGCATGGGAAATAGATCTCGGGTCGCTCCAGCCGCTCCTGGGGAGCAGGGGCTCCTGCTCCAGTTCTATCAAGTCGCTAACTGGGTCAAGCTGCTGCAGATGATGCGCTCCCATCTCCCCTCCACCACACCCCAGGACCCATTCAGTGCCAGCCAGCCATGTGCCAGTTTAAATGCTTACGTTCCTCGCCACCTCACCATCCCAGGGTGCAGAGTCAGGTTTAGTGGTGGCAGCCTGTGAGACCTCCAGAGGGGAGTTCCCCAGCAGACCAGAGGCTTAGGAGGCGGGGCTGGACTGGAGGCCACTGAACAGCACCAGCCACAGGCGCAGCCATTGTTGGAAACCCAGGCAGCCAGCTGCCCACCACCCAGCCCATCCTGGTTGCAGCTGAAGCCCAGCAAGGACTGGGAAGGGTGACACGGGTTGGAAGCACATCCCAGGAAACTTCTGGGAATCCCTGGTATTTGCAGTTGGGGGTGGAGTGGAAGTGGAGGGATGCCAGCGTCTTAAGTGCAGAGAAGCCCACAATGAGCCCTGCCTACTGAGCAATGGCTTCTGTAAATATGCGTCCCCAGTAGCTACTGCTTGACACTAGGCACCCCCACCAGCACCTTGGTCACCTCCCATGCTGACAGTGTGACTTTGTCAGCATCTGCCTAGGCAATTGATAAATAGAACGGGGCCTAGTTAAGATGCTCCTAGTTCTCAGCTGGGCTCCTGCCAGCTCACATCCACCCTGTCACCCTACATTTCCCCTGCCAGCCCCACCCCCTCAGCCACAAGGATCGGAAACCCCAGCAGCACCAGGATAATGGTGTCTGGTCCAGCCCTTTCAGGCAGGGCCTAGGTTTTCAGGTAGAAAGGAACTTAGGGTGGGCCTTGGAAGGTCCTTCAAATGCAATACATGATCCCAGAAGCAGGCACTGGCATCTGGCCCTGCCCATACCATACAGCTGAGAGGACAGAGGCCCTGACAGTTGTGAGGGGACAAGTTAGAAGATCCCAGGGCACTTCTTTTGCAACACTTGGGGGTTTCTGGGTGAAAGGATGACTTTGCCCCTCACTATCTCAGTGAGGTTACTTCCCTCCCAGGCCTGAGGCCCAGCCAGCACCCAATGGATGACAAGAAGAAGAAACGGAGTCCCAAGCCCTGCCTGACCCAGCCAGCCCAGGCCCCAGGCACACTACGAAGGGTCCCTGTGCCCACCAGCCACAGCGGCTCCTTGGCATTGGGACTCCCTCATCTGCCATCCCCCAAGCAGCGGGCCAAGTTCAAGAGGTGGGTACAGAAAGGAAACAGGACAAAGAGGGAATGACCCCAACTCTGGACTGAGCACTGTGGGGAGGAAGGCAATGGGGGGGCCTTTGGTCTTTAGTTACAAAGCAATAATTGAAGCCTTCCTTGGGGTGGCCTCCATTGGCCACCGAGAACTCAGATGACTCAGACCCAGTCCATAACCTCAAGTATGTGCGGGAAAGGCCAGGTGGGTCACTGGGATCACATAGTGTGAGGGTGCACCTCAGGAGGGATTGAGCGACCCTGCCAGGACGTGAGAGTCAGAGAAAGCTGTTGGATACACTGGAGAAGGAAGAATGTTCTACTCTGAGAGGCGTGCCAGGCATAAATATGGAAGAAAGATGGGCTGGCTGGTTGGCTTGGTTTAGAGTACAGCCTTGTAACAAGGTCAAGGATACTCACACCAGCCAGCTGCCAAAAGAAAATTTTTAAAAGGAGCAAAGATAATGCCTGAAAGGTTCTGGGAACCACAGGTGGTTTTTGGGCCTTGATGTGTCAGGGAACAGGAAATGGTGAGGGTACACCTAGGTACACAATTTGAATTCTCTGCTGAAGTTTTTCTAATAATTGGGAATTTGCATCTTATGCTATAATGTGTCCCTGTTTGTTCCCACTAAATAAGTGTTATTTCTCCTGTTGTTCCAAATAAAATCACTGATTCCCTGTAGCTTTGCACACCATCTGCCTGAAAGGCATATGTAGGGATAGCCACAATGGGGTGCAGGTGAAACTCAGGGCTGGAAAGAGAGTAGTAGGAAATGCAACTGGAGAAGCAAGAGGGCCAGGCTGGCAAAGGCACGCAATGTTATCCTGAGGGCAGTGGAAATCCAAAACAGTTTTTAAATAGAAGAGAAGCAGAAAGATATTTTGGGGAGAGGTAAGGTATCTCCGGTGGCAATAAAGAAGTAACTGTCAGGGCCAGCCCGTGGCTCACTTGGGAGAGTGTGGTGCTGGTGACACCGGGGCCACGGGTTCGAATCCTATGTAGGGATGGCCAGTTAGCTCACTGGCTGAGCGTGGTGCTGACAACACCAAGCCGAGGGTTAGGATCCCCTTACCGGTCATCTTTTGGGAAAAAAAAAAAAAAAAAAGGAAAAGAAGTAACTGTCTCCAAATTCACTGAAGACCAGGGAGGACAAGTGACTCACCTAGGGTCAAATGAGGAGTGAGTAAGGCACTGAGACAGGAACCCAAGAGTCGCGCCCCCCTGCCACCCCCAAGCGTGGCTCTGGTTGTGTCATTAGCTGGAAAGAGACTTGTGTTTGACTTCCTACCTTCACCTCTCCTCACTCACTCCCTTCTCTCTACCAGTCCTGCTGCCCAGGGCAAGGCTAGAAAAACAAACATCCATTTATGTTGGTGGGTGAAAGGGCAAATGAATTAGTGCATAGACAGATGGCACAAAAGATCTGGGGGTGCATGGCTGCCCCCCACCCAGTAACCATGGTCATGTCCACCCCACCCAGAGTAGGCAAGGAGAAATGCCGCCCAGTGCTGGCCGGAGGTGGGGGCGGCTCTGCAGGCACGCCCCTGCAGCACTCCTTCCTGACCGAGGTGACTGACGTCTATGAGATGGAAGGGGGACTATTGAACCTACTCAACGATTTCCACTCAGGCCGGCTGCAGGCCTTTGGTGAGTCTGGGGGCTGGTCAAAGAGGGTCTGTGGGTGGGGCTGGTGGGCATGGTCTCTGGAGCAAGGCTGGGGCCAGGGTCCCTGGCTCTCTCCCAGGGCTCAGACAGGGCCTATGCAGGGAAGGAATGCTCCTTTGAGCAGTTGGAGCATGTGCGCGAGATGCAAGAGAAGCTGGCCCGGCTGCACTTCAGCCTGGACGTGTGCGGAGAGGAGGAGGAGGACGAGGAGGAAGAAGATGGGGTCACTGAGGCACTGCCTGAAGAGCAGAAGAAGACGATGGCTGACCGCAATCTGGACCAGCTGCTTAGCAATGTAGGTCGTGGCTGGGTGCTTCAGTTCCTGGGGGAACCAGGGGTGGGGAAGGCATGTGCTCCCAAGGCCGTTTCTGGCCCCTGGGTGAAAAAGTGGGGGTGCATGGATTCAAGAGCTCTGAGACCATCAACCTCCACCAGAAGATGGCCCGCAGTGCATCAGGGGTTTGGCCTGGTGCCCCCCTGACGGAAACCTCCCCCCCCCCACTCTCTCTTGACAGCTAGAAGATCTTAGTAATTCTATGTATCCTTTCCAAAGGACCTGTATGTTTGTCTCCCAGAGATGAGGTCAGTTTCCTCCTGCCCACCACCCTCCAGGAGTATTCACACATAAACACACAACCAACGTCCCCACCCTTTGCAGTCCTACAGAGTCAGAATTAGCTACGAGTGCCGAGCCCGTGGCGCACTCGGGAGAGTGCGGCGCTGGGAGCGCAGCAGCGCTCCCCCCCCCCCCCCCCCCCCCCGG